ATTTTATTATTGTGGACCGAAGTTATACCGGAAAATTAAGCAACATTTTAGTAAGTTTGTGGATTAGTATATCTCGTTATTTTGTTATGCTATCCTTGGAAGTCATGTTGGAATTTCATCATAAAAACACAAAGAGAATACACGGATTCTTAATTAACATTCTTTGGTAATTACATAACGTAATGTGTTAAAAAAATTACAATGAAGAACTGACAACTCTATCTGTAAAATTGTCAAAACAGTTAATAAAATTTTAAAATGTATATGTTTAAAATTTTCTGCAAGATCGAAACGACACTCCTGAGAAAAGACTTTCGTCAATTTCAAGAGTACGTTATAAATATTCTTGGAAAGTTTACATTTGACTATTTTTAGTACGTAGCTCTGTAACTATGTAAAAATCACAACTAGTAGTACTGTCTTGTTCACTCTCGCCGGTTACTATCTAAACGAGGCATCGCAAAGCCAACTGGACTACGCAAGCTTTCGCAAGTCACTCGGTCGTAAATCAAGTTTGCGCATCGGAATTTAACGTCTAAGCGAGGTCGTTTGTTCGGTTTTTTTTAACTAAATTTGCCACAAATAGAGACATGTTTCTCAAATTATAAGAATCAATGTTTGACGGAATGCGGCACGTGTAAGATTATTGCTAATATTATTGGACAATTGCGATTTGGGAGGGAAAATTGTGGACGAACCATTTTAATACATCGCCTTGAACTATCAGCGTGCTGGAATCCGCCAATAGTTTATTTGAACGAAAAGAAATTATCAAAGCCGGGATCAAAATTAAAATAGAAATTGTTAATCAGCTGGTAATATAGCTATTCTCCTGGTACATCGGCGCTAATTATACGTACTCGTACGAGTACTCTTAAAATAAGCGGATATTATTAGATGGAGTGTACTCACACTGTTGGTGTAAAAAAAGAGAGTGATTTAATTTTATTCGTTCCGTATAATGTTAAGACGAACCGTAAAATTCCACTGTCTCTGTTTTTCCAAATAGAAAAACAGTTTGACATGTTTTTATACACGTCGCTTCGTCGAAAGTCATTTTAAGATTTACTGTTTGTAATTTTATCTAGGCTTGTATAGGTTGGGGACGCAAGGTCGACTGTGGGCAGATGGCCGTTGCGATGCGCCTCGCTTCTATACATTTTTTATTCCACGCCTCATCCGTTATTAACATAGCTTATTACACCTTACTTGTTATGCATACCTGGTACTTTTTTTGGTACATGAATAAAATACAAATTATTACTGCAAAATAATCGTCGACAACTGAAAGCTTTGAGACAAATTAATTTCATTTTAATATTTATCAAACGAATATAATGCGGATGTTTAATATGCAGTAAAATTAATAATGTCAAATGTAAGATTTGTTATTTACTATTACGATCGAGATAAACAGAAATGCCAGTCGTTACTTTAGTACTGAACCATATAAGGTGTGAAAAGATTTTACTTAAACTGGAGGTTTTAAGAAATATATAGTTGTTTTAAGTTTGTAGACAGAAGTAATAAAACACTATAAAGATAAAATTGAAGTCATCGAATTTAATGCAATAAAAGAAAACGTTTCTTATTTTTTACAAGCCCTGTAACTGTAACAACTGAGGACCCACACAGTTCCAATACCCCAGAGCACCAAAATAGTTCATTAAAGATTTTTTTAATGAAAAACATTAAACCAAATTTTTACTAAAGAATCATTTGACTCTAGATGCAAAAAGCCAATCTTATATATACCTGTATTGATTCCGAGGTGCGAAATTAACACGTGAACTCGTCGATTACTGAAATTCTTAACATTTTTTGCAAGATAGCAAAACACATGAACAATATCTATGATGTGTGGCGATGTAAAAAATACACGTTGCTAGGAGAACCGGTGCGACCGCATACCTCGCGCGTTGCCGGCAAGGCCTCGGCGACACCTGCGCTTTCCCGCTCCTCCTACCGCTATCCGCGACGCTACCCGCTACCACTACCCGTACCGCTATCCATGTTGACTTTTCCCATAGCTTTCTCTACAGTCTATAAAAGCTATACGAAATTTTAGGCTACACACCCTTATAATTTAGTCACCTGAATTCGGTCAAGTGTGAAAATGAATTTTTCAAAGTACAAATTTAATGTAATTTACGTTAAATTATATACCAAAACGTATCTATAAAATATATTACTTGTGACAAATGACATTATAAAATATACAAAGAGTGGCAGGCTGTTGTCGCACGCCGGGGCCGCTGTGCGATCATTATGGGTACTTGACCCAGCAATTTACTTTATAAAGTACAATTTATGGATTATTAATAGACTGTACGGCCGAGACAAAAATAGCTTCTTGTATCACATTGCCTCCGTATGCAGCCAACGACGATGCAAAATTAGAAAGCAAACATAACAACAGATATGCAAATGTTTCCTGCCCTCCTAACATATCGTTTGTACTAGAGAATTAATATATTAAATGATATGAAGTCTATTGTTTCAAGTATTTTAGGTTGGTATTAATAATCTTTATCGATTTTTCTATTCTATAAAATATAAAAATTGCGTTTTGTACAGTACTGCTCTGAAGTAGGAAACTTAAAACTAACAAATTTATTAAGTGATACCATTGATGTTGGTGTTGTAAGGACGAGAAAGCGTATAAAACGCAAGTCAACACAAACAGTTTATGCCAGCGAATTGCACAGTCGATAAATGGCACGGCTCATTAAAGTAAGCGGTGCGCGGGAGCACTAAGATATTATCTGATGGTATAAAAAGCCAAACGGCACCCTCCGTCGCGACGGCGCTTAACCGCCTGTTCACTGCTACAGTACTCGCACATTTAATAAAGAAAACTTTACCTTAACCTAAATACATTAATGTTTAATTCACTCAATAGATGTCTCTAATATTAATTAACATAATCTCAACTAAATGACCATCACGCAAATTAATAAATCATAAAAATTCCATCAACGGTAACACAACTCATCTATGTTATGTCGCACGCGACAAAAAAGACCATTAGGTAAGCAAATGTATATTTTAATACAGAATAAGCGATAAATCTCGCTATGGGCTTTCGAATTCCGCGCAAGTCATCCGACCAGGTGAGATTGGCTGGGAAATACCACACACATATGTACTAAGGTGCACAACCTTACATACGTGTTCGGCCCGAATGTGCACATATAAAGTATTTAATATGTCTTATTTTACGATCCGGCTGCTATCAGCGCACGTCCGAGAATAAATTAAAGATTGCAAAGAAAAAGAATATAGATAGAGGATACAGAGAACGATGAAATAATAATGGAATGCGAGTTGTTCTAAGCGTGGTAGGAAGGTTCCGCATTGGAAGTTTTTTCGCTGCGGCGCCTGCGCGTGCGACGCCGTCTTGTCGCCGCCCATCTGTTGATGTCTTCGTAGCAAATCAATTAATTCAACGTTCATTAATAATAAGTTAGAACTTAGTTACTACACTACTGAATTACAGTTTAATAAATATTATAGCTATTTTGCAACAACTGCTTAACTTCTTCAATACTTAACGAGTTTAAGGTGTACTAATTTTATGATATTTATAATTATAATGTTTACAAAAAGTTTTTAACCGACCTAAAAATGGTTGTCAATTCGTCTGTATGTTTATTAAGTAAAGCTCGATGATAAAATAAATTAATGTTGATTGTTTTTATATTTACGATAAGTCAATTTCTCGTTACAATTACACGTACAAGTAACGGAGGCTCGTGTTGATTTTGTTTTGTTTATGTTTCGCACCGGTCACTTTCACATCCGTCCTCGCCTCGAGTTCCGTTAACAATCCTCTGTACCGATTTAAAATATTAATGTGTTACGTAACGTACGATTACTTCGTTATAGAGAACCAAATTATAAAGGAATACAATTTATTCAATTTTTTGTGTTATACTGGCCGATAAAAATGCATTTCGTGTACGTAATTAGCACTTGAATTGGTTCTTGTTTAATTATCAATATACTTAGATAATCATCAGTTTATATAAATCCATTAAAATTTGTTGCTATGGAGAAACGCGAGATGTTTATACCGTAATAGAGTCAAGCGAAATATTCCATTTTATATAAAAACCTTAATTCAGAAATTACTATTTAAAGTATTTCTTAACAGCTATCACTATCAGTACATTATCATAACCAGTAAAGTTCCGAGTCATCACCAAATTATTAGACAATCGGTAAAAAAGTCGTAAATTATATATGAAAAATGAGATCTCTCGGAATTCCCAGAAGCGCGCAAGGCCACTAATCAAATTACTAGTTATTGTCTAGGTGTGAGCCTGTCGCGGCCGGTACTAAAACATTATTATTCTAAACTTGGCGCGTGATAAATTGATTTAGTGACAGTGACCACCTTGTGGGCATACAAACGTCTTTTAAATACAACCAAGAGACGATTATGAGTGGTGTTAGCATTGCCCAGCGTCTGTGGACAATGTGATAAATAAAACATCAATCGTCCATAAGGCCTTTGTAATGTAACTAAAGACACAATAACATAATGGTCAACTCAGACCGCGTTTGTAATACATTACAAAAATAAAATAAAACCAAGCGAATTATACTAGCCGCCAGTGCTGTTTTTGATGAGTCGGGACAATTTAATGACTCTAGAAATTGTTTTAAGCCCGAATGAAATTAAATTTTCATAATTTCTTTAACTAAATAGTGTTAGGATGAAACTCCGACATTGTACCTTTGTATCAGCGCAACACTAGCCCTATTAAAAAATCAACGCTTAAGTCCCCTGACTAATCGATCTGACACTTAACTTAGTAACAAAAGCACGCCATTCGCTCCAAATGATTCCAACTAATATTGTCTGAAAATAGACTGTTCAGTTAAACATTCATGTGTAGGAAAAACTGAGAGCTGATTAATCTGAAATATCCGACTAAACAGATAAAACTGAAGGTGTGTTGCTGCCTTAACTTAGTTAGTATTTGAAACCATACCTTACAAATGCAACGGAAGCAGCTGCTCCACTCGTGTTCGAGCCGCGAGTCCTGCAGCCGCACCGCCTCGCCCTCGTTGGAGCACGGCGCGCGCTGACCTTCTGAAATGATATTACAATATTTAATAAATAATAAAATATAATAATTTTATAATAAATAACAAAAACATGACAAAGCCAGGAAAGAATGCGAACGAATAAAAACCTTCTTCAAAATCGGTAGTCATTTAAGATATATCCTTCCTACAGGAAATCATGGAAGAAAATATCCACGGCTAGATTCATTCATATTACAAGTCTATAGATTGATTACTGTAGGCTTCTGAAACCAAATTCTCCGCTTAAAACATATTGTTATCTCTGTTTTATCAAAGACAAAACAGGGATGACGATTTGGTTTACATAGAGATTTTGATGTCGGAAACCCAGGGTTAATGAATGAGCTGTTACTTTAATTATCTGTTAGGAATAATCACAGTAAACTTAACTTTTAACATAAAACTTTATAGAAATGGTAAAAATTGCAGACAGTTAACATATTTTTTTTTAAGAGAAGGGGTAAACGAGCGGCATGAACACCAAGGCGATCAACGACACGCATGGAGATCTGCAACACCAGAGGAACTGCAGATGCGTTGCCGGCCTTTAAGGAAATGGTATGCTATGGTATGGTATGGTATTTGTTTAACCATATCTGTTTATAATCTTACATTAATCTTGACCTAGGAAAGACCACGCCTTTGCATTCCTCTCCACTATTATGACAACAATCTAGCTATAGCTATATATCTATTAAAAAGTTATAAAAAGCTGCTCTATAACTATAATAATATGATGAGCTAAAAATATTTTATTTACCTAAAGTAACAACATTTATTCATAACATTCGGAGCGGTGAGTCATCGTGATATTAGCGGAAAAATTACGAAAATCATCTCTTTAGATCCAATCCTTGCAATTGCAAAAATAACATTGTTAATTAAAATAATTATAATTATCTTTAGGGTCATAAATAAGTTGGAATAACATTTTGATTGACCACTTAAACATATTTATACCACTTAAATATAAATTTCATAATATTTAAATTACAACCCCTTCTACAAGAATTAATAATCTTACTAATATTATAAATCTGAATGTCTAGATGAATGGATGGATGGACAGATGTTTGTTTGAAGATATTTACAGAACGGCTGAATGGATCTTGCTGAAATTTTGCCGTAGATGTAGAACATAATCCGGAAGAACAGATAGATGACTAAATAATTTTCTTTTTAATTCCGCGCGGACGGAATCGCGGGCGACAGCTAGTCAATACTACAAATATCGTCACGAATTCAATCAAATATATGAATACATCATTATGGCAGCAACTTTCTTATCTACAGCCTTCTGTGAAATTATAATCACCTACAAAAAATACTTCCTTTTAATGATGATTAATTTGAATTGACGTCGGTAATGTCATGCAGATAAATTTGAAAAATTAATTTGTTTTAAATATAAATATCTTTATAACTTATACTTGGAACAATAGAACTCAACCCGGATTTGAACCCGGAAATAAAATCTTGATTATTCCTTTTAAAATGTTAGTAATTAATAAATGCGTTTATATTTTCTCGAAGATTTTTATAAACCTTAGATTTTTACTTGTTTATAAGGGAACCAAAAGATCAACTTTATCAAACATTCTAAAAACTATTTCTAATGTTAATAGAGGAATAAAAAGTGCCAGATTATTTGGTAATTTACATTACTTTGCAAAGAGGTTTTTTTATTCAACAACTTTTCCTTTAACCTCAATGTCTTATAATGTTATTATGCCACAGATTTAAACGCATTTTACTTTTCATAACAAACAAAGGTAATTAAACAATAAATTGGATTACACAAATGACACGAGATTAATGCGAATGTTTAGATGGATAGTTGGCTGGATGTTGGAAGGTAGCTTCGAAACGGCTGCATGGTTCTCGTTGAAATTTGGCGTACATGTAAAAAATTGCCTAGAAGAACACATTGACAACTAAATAAATTTATTTTTTTCCCCGTGGACGGAGTCGCGGATGACAGCTGGTCTTTTACAAATCTAATAAAAAGGGAAAACTGATAAGTCATAAAGACAACTTTCCCTGCTCGTGATAATCACACAAAATGTGACAGGTGCAAAATAAATATTTATGTTTGAAAATTGTATTCGAATTTTTCTCTGATTTTGAATCAAACTTGAGCATCATAGAAAGTAAAGTTTACTGCGTTACAAAGTTGCTTCTATCATTGAAAATATCCATTTATATAAACTTACTTATAACGTAAACTTAACATCCACTAAAAGAACTACTATAAATTTCTAAATTCCCATATGAAGAGTTTAGAAACATAACCATGCCTTTGCTTTAAAACTAGCTTAATCCAACCATTCTTATGTCAGACAAATTTATTTTACTTGTATTATAAGTTGTTTCAAGTTAACAAACAATCAAAAAGTATATAATCACGTGAGCTATTTCGCGAGTTGCGCAGGCGCATGCGATTCTGTTCTAAAAGACGGCATCCGACCAACGTCCCCGCGTGTCGCGGATCACATTTTTACCTTGATTCAGATTGAGCCACGGATCCGCATTCTTATTACGTATGTACATAGCTGTTTCGGGCGCCGCGCCGTCGTTGCTTTGCTGACTCCCGCGTAAATATTTCTCTAATTGATGTTTGCGCGTCAGATTCGCGATTTGCATATATCCACTATTCACTATCGCAACACAGTCCGACCACACCACATGTTTTTATGTTAATAATGCATATTATAACTTATAATAATAATACATGGAATACTTTGGAATATTTTTATGTATTTTATAGGCTTGTAAATGTGCGAGAATCTTTAAAAATTTCCATTTAATTGATAATTCTTTATTCTTATTTTTTTTTACACTAAATCTGTCGATTTAAGGTAAACGACGTATTGCGATATAATGCGGATATCTTTAGGCAGCTATCACTTTGTAATTTTACCCAATTTAAGTGATCACTTTCTCGTTTGCCACGTTTGGTTCAGGTTATTTGTTATAATATGTTAAAAACATCCTTTTACTATAACATAAATTTAATCTTAAAGTAAGATGACGAATATTTGGTTGTAAAGATGGATATACATGGATGGATGTTTGTTAGAAGGTTAATCCAGGACTATGACGATAGCCTTGTCACCCCTAAATTAGTGTTGGCTCTGAGACCCTCAGTGGGGACGTATCTCACTATAAGATGATAACTGATGATGAACTCCAGAATGGATTTATGGATCTCGCTGAAATTTGTCATAGATGTAGAGCACATAGGGTAAATTAAGTTTTTTTTTATTCCACGCGGACCGAATCACGGGCGACAGTTTGTCTTTTATAAGTAACGAAAAACTACCTTCATATTATGATCCTTTAACATATGACAATTTTAGAAAATAAATATTTCTTTTCTATTTTCACATTGATTTGACACAAAATATTTACATTTCATAATAGCCATATCTCATAGCAACGAGCGGTTTTCAAGGCTGTTGAATAAATTATTGTATCTCCGAATTGTAAGTCAACAAATTATATATTTGGCGATGTTACGGAATTGACTCACATACATAAATATGTTTGGCATGTTATATACATATATATAACTTATATAAAAGATTTAAATACTACTTGGCCCGAATTTACGACTTCAATAACACTGAATTAATAAAAACCTTAAGGTTATCGACATCCTTGTTGTAAATGGGGGTTTTAAGTAACCAAATTAAGGTCACTTTTTATTTTATTTGTAGATATAAACTTTATTTTTTGTCTTTTATCAGATACAAGCTTTTTTTGCTAACGTTGTTCCCTGCCAGAATCTTTTTATTTTTATCAATATAGTCTATGTCGCCCGCGACTCCGTCCGCGCGGAATTAAAAAAATATATATACCTATGTCTTCCAGACTATGTTTTACATTTATGCCGAATTTGGTCGAGACTCATACAGCCAGCCGTTTTGCAATGTCATCTGATCCAAAACAAAACTTTTCTTATAAAATCCCGGAACATATAACGCCCACATCAATAGCATAAAGTTTTTAATCTAAATTAAATTACAATGGTCTGCTGAGAGGATCATAGACAAAAAATAACTGCGGACCGTTATTTAGAAGTCACATGTTTAGATGTTCTTAATTTAAAAATTGCATCTTGCAATAAATTGCATTCACTACTGATAACTAATATGCTGTGTCATTTGTTTAAATTTAATATTAACACAAGATAAGTGTTTGCCGTTTAAGAGTGAAGAGCCATGGTTTGTTGCGGTTCAAGTAATTATTTAAATATGTCTGTACAGACCCTACAGAAACACTTGTAACGTTCATTATTTACTTACAAGGAACCAACAAACCCTTACAATGTTTGTACATTCAAGAGTACAAGTGAATAAATATTGTCTCGTTTTGCAATGAAGGATGTCGCCGACACTATATTAACAAAGACAGATTTTATTTTATAAATAAGTAATTAAACTCAGCTTTGCGGTTTTTTATAGTTTAAGGTGACGACTGAGCCGCAATGCCGAGCCGAGTCTAGCGGCTTCTTCCACCGGAATTTGCCAAAAGAGTGAAGTGATCGCTACCCATAGATTTGCCGTTAATCAACAGAGAAGGGCACGAAAAAAAAGGGGAAAGTTGCAAAGTCTAAGTTAAAGTAATGCAAAAATTGTAATAAAAATTATGTCGTTGCAAACATGTGATGTGTTGAAAACAATATGCACAAAACATTCTCTATTTTGGTGAAAATCTACAAATTACTCGTTCTGAAATATATCTAAAAGGAACAAGGAATTCTCTTCTGCATTTTCTCCCGTTTGAGCGTTTGGGCCGTTGAAATAAGTTAATGGTATGTTAAGAGAGTTTACTTGAAATACACTAGATTACTAAAAAGTTAGCATTTGTTTTGTTTTTTTTTTAATGTATAAGATCCACACGCAACATAAATATTCAAAGCAATGCATTCCCCGAGTGAAACCGAAGAGATTGCAAAAGAAAGTAACATTACGTCGCACCAAGTTTACTTCAAAAATAATCACGATGTTTTATCCATCATTTAAATATAAGGTGTACAATTTCACACCAACCCGCCAGGAACAGTTACCGGTTGTTGCAATGCTATCTTATGGCCATGTTCACAACGAAATTCAGGACTAAAAGATAATTACGACCGGTTTTGAAATCATGTCAATCCTGCTTAAATAAAACTGGTTTTTATCTTCTCCTTTCGTTCTTTAATCCATAATACAGTTATAATAATATTTCTCAATTTGTTCTCCACATTGAATCGGTAAGAAATCTATTAAAATTCGACGGAATTGCAAAATCATGCTTATAAATAGTTTTAAAATTTGTAGGTAAGCCTCGGTGTAGGTGTCTCTAAATAGCTAGACTATCTTCTGTAAATCTTATTTTCTATTGGAAATTTAACGAGAAAAAATATATATCACAGAAATCTAATATAAAATTATACTGTCCGTCTAAATGAGATATTGTTGGTGAGCATACAGTCAAGGTGTGTTGGGCATATTGTTGCGCAAGCGGGTCTGAGACTGGCGACTCTCGTACCTCGCATAGATCACATGTCGCTCATTCGTCTGTAACGATCTGTTCTGCCAGCTCTAGTCACTGCAGTAATTGCCAATCACACCGAGCAATTTGTTATTTTCATACATTTCGAGAGATTAGAACATGTCATAGACAACTGATATATGGTACGCATGTTGTAAAATTATACGGAAAGGACTTGAAATTAATGATCACTGCGTGTAAATTAAAATCAACAGTTTTAAAATTTTACTACAGAAACTTAAGAGGGTTTTAATCATCGGTATATTAACAGGAAAATATGCTTAGAGGAGAGGAGAATTTAGAGATTCGAAACACTATTCTTGTATGCTAATAGATGAAGTTAATTAAATTGACACTCACTGATGAGACCGTTGTCAGCTGTGGCGAGGTGGTGTGTAAGCAGGAGTGGTAGCAGCAACAGCAGCGGTAGAAGCGGAGGCAGGAGGGGCGGCAGGAGCGGTGGCAGGGCGCGGGCGGCAAGCGCGGCGGGCGGGGCGAGCGCGCGGCGCGGGCCTCGCATGGTCGTTAGGCCCCCGCGACCATCACACCCCCGCGCCGCGTCCTCTCTGCGCGATACCTGACAAAATACACACCCTCATTAAACTGCTATTACGACTATAGAACTAACTAGCCCTGCAACAGGCCACTAATGCCATATAAGAACTCTTGTTCAATTTTTAATAAATTTAGAAATCCAGAAGCGAAAATGTCCGTAACCCGAGCCCGTGTGTTAGGGGTTTAGTTAACCCCATTTAACTTGAGAGAAGAATATAAATAAAATGTTTCCTCAAACTGAAAAATCGGATATATGTAAATTCAATGTCACTTATAGGCCACAGGTTGTCACAATGTCATCCTGTACTAAGGTCATTGAGCTAGATATCTTATATATAAAATTCTCGTGTCACAATTTTCGTTCTCATACTCCTCCGAAACGACTTGACCGATTCTCGTGAAATTTTGTGAGCATATTGAGTAGGTCTGAGAATCGGCCAACATCTATTTTTAATCCCGCGCGGACGGAGTCGCGGGTGACAGCTAGTTAACGTATAAAATATACCAAAGCTTTTAAACTAATCAGTAGTTGTATTTCTTAACACTTAACACCTACTTTGACAACTATAACCTTAAATTAACGCTACTTGCTTGATAAAACATTGCTTAATCTGATCTAATTCAACATGGCGGTTAATCATGAAGTTAAATTATTTCACAACATAATGACCCGGTTTTACCTGATCGAAATTCATCAACAAGTATCAAAATTGAATTAATTTGCTCAAATAATTCACTTTTGATCTATTTTTTAACTTAAAATTAATTCAACCTTCTAAAAAATTTTAATTGGTCTTTATTATAATATCATTATTTAGTTTTGCTAAGTTTCAAATAAAACATTAATAAAATACGAGAATCTTTACGTCATGTCTTTATCGATTTCTATCTGATAAATGTTCTATAAAATAAATAATCGATTATATCGATTCCTGCAAAACTTCTCTTACAAATAAGAAACAATTTAAATTCGTGCTCAGAAAAAATAATAAGTGAGATCTTTAGGTTTACTTTGACTCACTATATGTAAGTTCATATACTAAGGTAAAGTTAATTGCTTTAGACGTAAATTACGTCTAAAACGACCAATTCCTTTTAATCAAAGTCGGTTAAGACTTTATAGAACCAGAGTAGTATAAGTAGTTATAAATATTTTAAAATTATTAAGTCCTAACAGAAAGAGTGTTTTTAACCTTTGTTTGTTGTGATTCACCGAATGGAAATGGTCCGCGCCTTCACTGGCCGTAAGCCGTTTACCTCGGTCGCGACACGCGACAAATACGTTGAAACACGCATAATGCAAACATGATTCTTCTTTAGTCACTTATATTCTTACGTAAACGATTAGTTATATTACGAAAACAATAAAATAAGTATAGTTCCTTGTTTAAGTCACAATTTGAAAAAGGGATTTTCCAATCAACTCGGCTGAGCCATACTAATTTAAGTGTAAAGTGTCAATTTTTGGTGACATTAATTTTCATTAACCTATAACCTTTAGTTTATAACATAATGTTTTTGGATTAATTTATAATATACACATTTGAGTACCTCACACAAATAACGTACATAGTCAATTGATATGACGTGAACATATACATAATACTGAGATAAATTCCACTCGGCCTTTTATCGTTTAATCACTTATATTGCATAAACAATAATTCAATAAAAAAAAAACCTTGGAGTGTCGTGCGTGACGTGAAAGAGTCAATGTACTTCAAATTACCGAGTGATAAGTAATTTATTTACAACGTTTTTGCACGAACGACCCAGATACGAAGCTGATTGATGGAACAGGATATGGTAGGGGCAGCTTGGAGACTCTCCAACACATACTGCATCTAACAATTATAGTTAACATTTCTTGGAACATAATGAATTTTAAAAGCCTATAATCAAACTCTGACATTTAATCAATTTAACTTTTAAACTCGAAACTTTAGAAACGGTGCTAAAGACTTAATACAAAACAAATTTGGTTCGGAAAAACGCGCTGCCGCAACGATGTCTTTCAACATTTGATGTCTATATGTATTTCTGTTTATATCAAACATAAGTACATATCATTATGCCAATAAGAGAAAAAAAGACGCTAGTTATATCTCTGATTAAAAAAAGAGTGCTTACTAAGTTTCACTGTAGATACCCGAATCAACTTAACAGTTGTATTGATTGAAAAACAAAACATAAACCAGATATTTATTAGTAGAAACAGTCATAAGAAAAATTTGAAATGAACAACAATAAATAGAAGATTTCGTCATAGACCAAATCTTCCAGTACTTGACCGATGACATCAACTGTAGGAAATCAACAAAGAGGACAGACATCTTTGTCGTCGGCCTATAAATTCTCAGCGCCTAATCGATCGTTATCGGAGGACGATGTGACACACACACATGTACTATTCTATTCTAGCTAGTACACTGAACACAAACATTCCAAACCAAGTATGAAATTCAAAGTGATTTTATATAAATACAAATACGAATTGCTGCTTTAAAAGTTTCTTAAATCTTTTCACAAAAAGAAGTACATACTTTTAGACATTATTAATTAGAATTAAGACAAAAAGAATTGTCAGAATGAGAAGTGAGAGGACATAAACGTCGACATTTTGGTAAGGCTAGAGTTGCGCCAGTACACCGGCACAGTGTCGAATCCTCCTCCTAACAGTACAGTCGTAAACTTTTTATTCCAAAAAACTGTGAAATTTTTTTTTATATAATTTTATAACACGTAATATTAAATTATTTTGAATCAAAATGACTCGAACCTTGCCCGTACACATTTGACGTCAAACCATTAATGTAGTGAGTCTAAAACCGAGTTATATTAAGACTTACGTATTACTAATTCATAGTATTTATTGATTAAAGTTCATAGTAATATTTATATCAATAACAAATAAGTTTATACGTCAGTATGCACTTATGCAGTTGCTTTGCTTACGTCACTCATACGAGAGATCTTAGTATATGACATTTAATGTTTATTCTATGAGTATATAGTGATATATATAAGTATATACTCAATGAAAACATTATTTGAATATTTATTACACACGTAGTTAATATCCCCTTATTTACACGTAATATAAACAACGCACAATTTTTTTTTCTTTATTTGTTAACCGACTTCAAAAAGGAGGTTCTCAATTCGTCTGTATTTTTTTGTTCATTAGTAATTTTATATAGATATAGTCGTCAACATATTTATAGGAACAGTTTTAATAAATTAAAAATCAAACAATAACGAACAAGTGAAATTAAAAATATTAAGATTGATTGGCACGAACACAATATGTATAATTTGGATATCATGTTTAAAACTTTTAAACCTATATTTCGAAAGTTTCAACGCCAACAAGCTGTCTAATCAAACTATCTTTAGTTTTGATTGATACATCGTTCTTACAATTCTAAGTTATGGCTTCCCACCTAAGATTAAAAACCAGACATTCATGCGGATAAAATAATTCAGGCATTTAAAATAAACATAACGAGTACGCGAGCGTTTGAATATCGCTTCTAATATAAAAAACACCGAGGCGTCCTTAACGCATTTTTTATAGCATTCCTCTAGAACATTGACCTGCAGTACGTGAATATATAGCATTAATTCATTAATAATATTAGAGAGACGCAAAAAGTGGTTCACATTAGGTGCGCTTACGCAGCTTTCGGTCGCGCAATACCTCTTTCACACGAAGGCTACAGAGTGAAGCAGGATAGACGGGCAGAAGTAAGCAGCAGGACACGAGTGAACATCTAGTGAAGGCACAAGCAGAAACAGAACAGTACTGATTTGCCTCTAAGTGTCATCAACATCAGCTCACTATACCTCCTCACTAAGGTCCTCGGCGCCTACCCTATGTTAGGTGTGGACTCACGCTGGACTACTGCGGGTTGCTTAAGATAACATATATCTTTGAATTTCTTTCCATATATGTGCAGGTTGCATCACGCTGTTTTCCCTTACCGTCAGAAAGTCGGATAAATGTATGTTTTTCGAAAAACATATTGCCACATGGGTTCGAATCCCGCCATGTGGATTACAAGTTGAGTGCTTAACCCGTGAGCCATAGATGCTCCCTAAGTGTGCGTTGAAATAATAACAGTACTGCACTGCCTTCTGCTCTGCCTCAGAATTCTGCCTTCGTGTGAAACTGGCATAAGGCTCTAGGCGCCGGCAGAGCCTCGCCCGCGCCCGGGCCATTGTCAATGTTAGTTCCGGTTACAGATCCTCCTCGGTAATGCGTTTACGAATATAAAAACATACAAAACATAATTGATTCGTTTAACTTATTAATTTTAGCGAATGGAATGCAGTAGTATTACTAATGTATTATTAACGTGTGTGCGTTATATGGACAAGTCAAAAAAAAAGTCTTGAATACCTAATCATTACAACAGATTGGTTGCTTGTTCGTTAAACTTTCAGGATGTGAAGCGCACAAATTAAAAGTTTTCTTAAGTTTTTTTTTTCTAACTTTAATGAAACTAGTAATAGATGTTTACGCCGTCCCGGATAACATATTTTTTATTGAGTTAATTAACTAGTCAATAACAGACTCTTGATCGGATTCCTTCTTAATTTGAAGACCTTGAATCGATTCCTTTCTCGTAATTATCAATAGTAAATTACGTAATCACCAAACTAATAAAATGTCAAGTTATTTAATGTAGCCATACGAAGTAGATAATATAGGTAAAAATAGAAACAAAAAAAACATTATAAACCAGATAGAAAGATGAATAACCGTTGGTTTCTGAAACTTAAGTTTCAGTATAAAATGTATCATCATCTCTGTTATTATCTGACAAAACAAAAATGACAATATGTTTTAAACGGAGATCTAAGAAACCTACGGTAAGTAATATTTTACTGGGGTCACTAAAAAATCAATAACACAGTTTTTATTAGTACAAGGGATTTCAGCGAGATCAGTTCAGCCGTTGCGGTGATACCTTCAAACAAACATCCACCCATCCAGCTAAGCATTCACATTTATAATAT